TTTGCGTGCTCAGGTTTGCGTGTCTGAGCACGGGAGAGACGTGGTGCTGATGGGTGCTGGGTGTCCTGTTTGTACTGGGAGGTGAAGGGATACCCTACGGCAAAGGCTTTGTCTTGCCTTTGCAGTCCATCCCAACCCATCATCCCTGCCCATGGCAGGGGGGTTGGAACTAGATGATCTTGAAGGTCTCTTCCAACCCAAACAGTTCTATGACACTGATCTCCGGTCTCCCAAGGAGCTTGGGGTTTTGAAGGCAGCTTTGGTAATCCCTGAAATCTCTCCCAGCTCTGGGTCATGGGTGGAGCTGGATTTCAGCATCTGTTTACAAGGCCCTGCCCGAAGCTTCCTGGAGATATATTGGCAGGCGACGGGCTGCGGCCGAGGTAGGAGATGACAGCCCTGGGAGGAAGACAGGAGCTGGCTTCATGGATTTGCTTGTTTTCTTTCCCTTCTTTGACATAAGTGAGGTGCCCTGAGGGTGAACTGAGCTGCCCTTCTTCATGGTGTCTTCCCACCTCCTCCCTAAACCCCCAAAATTGGTTTGGCCGTGGGATAGTTCTGCCCCTCCTCATCCTCGGCCCTCTCCACCCAACCTCGAACTGAGGGTGAGCAGGTTCAGGGAGCTGATCTGGCTGAAAACAGCCCTTAACAACAACAAAATGCCCATGTGGGGAGGTGGAAATTCAGGTCTGGGTCACGCTGTGGCCAGTGAGGGACAGAGAGAAGGTGATGGAGGTTGTGCCATCCCGAGCTTGCACTGGCTGATGACCGTGGCCAGTGAGGATAGTGCCACCAAGTGCAGTATCACCTGTAGCATCCAACCCAAAAGCTGCGTGGCCAGGTGTCCCGTTTCTTATGAATAAGAGATGTTTAATATCACTAATAACTTGCTATAAAAGCTTGGAGTGAACTTGGGAAACGTGGAGCTGGTGACAAACCAGCCATGCACAGGCCAAGCCAGGGGAACAGTGGCTCTGGAAGGTGGGCAGAGCCTTTTGGGCACAGCTTATGGCTGTGGGGAACATAAATCTTACCTTTTATCCTTATCCCAGTCTCCAAACCCTATTCCCAGCTGAGGTTGCAGGAATAAGTTCCCATCCTCCTTTATTCCCAGGCAGGTGGGGAGGGGGGGACCTTAGCTGGGATGAAATCAGCATTAAAAGCCGTATCCTATGAACTGAAACTCTTGCCAGGGCCAAGATGTTTGGGATTGTTTTTTTTTTCATCCTTTCTGCCTGTAATGGGGCAAAAATATGTGCCTGCTTGTTAGCTCAGAAGGCCATCCATGCCAGGAGCCACCAGCTGTTTCTGCATTGGGACCCCCGTGGAGACCCTGGTGCTGTACCCGGGTGGTCCCGGGGTGCAGCACCTCCCCAGCTGCCCTTGTCCTTGCCCTACGAGACGGCTGGACACTGGATCATGGGGCTGCAGAAGCTCGTGCAGAAGCCCGAGGCTCTGAGCCAGCTGTTTTTTGGCTGATTTTGGCATCGCTGCCTTCTCCTGCATGCAGCAGGCAGAGATGGGGGGATTTGGGGGTACCCTATAAGTGCATCCTCCTGCCAGGGTCATTGCTGGGGGGGAGGCTATGATGCTGGAAGGACTTTGGGGGAGCTGGGGAGGGGATGCTACAGCACAAGGGGGGCTGGAGGGGGGGAAAGGGCTTGGCAATGAGCTGCAGTACCCTGTGGGATTTGGGGTGCACAGAGGCAGGACG